CCCCATCTGTCACGTTCAAGGAGCAGAATCGGTTGCCTACCTACTAGGCGGACCCTCATTCATTGTGTTTGTATAGTTTTGTTCTAAATTTGTTACGTCGTCTGTTATTTTAATGCACTTCGCTCAGCTACCCCGTGCACAATGTTAACGCACGGGGCCCTACGTGTTAAATGCTGCCATCCCTGTTGGCGCACATAAGAGTACACACCCCTTGTCATGGTTGGCTTCAGGTCGAGCGTGAAACATTCGTAAGAAAAGGTTTGATACAGAACTGAGATGAGAACAGATTTTCCAACCCCCACCCCGCAAGTTATAAGGTGTTGTACAGGCGGGCCGTCGTCTAAGAAATGATTGGTGATGTGCATCAGATAATCGCGCTGTTGAGGGTTGAGCTTAGCTATAAGGTTGTTATATTCTTCATCTTGCATCCGACCAGGAGACATGAAGCCTTCCTCGTAAGGCCGGGTTTGGTATTCTCCTAAGTCGGTAAAGACATCGGCTTGTATTTGAGGGTCATTTAGGTTTTAGTCATCAATGTCGTGAAGTGGAGCATTTTCGTCTGTCTCTTGTTCTGTCTCCCGATCTTCCGCAGTGTGAGAAGCGCTCTGCATGGCACTTTCTAATGTTTCTTCGTCAAAATGGTTGTATTTCTTTCTGTTGGCAAGAAAAACCTGCATGTTTTCCTCTGCTTACGTCTTCGGGTCTATGTTGAGTATGTCGCTACTTCCGTCAGTCCACGGCAGGTATAGGGTAGCCTGTCCAACGGAAAAAAAGTTTTCGAGGTTCGGACGCTAAATGACAGAGGACATTAAACGATGAATTCCTGTCGCTGTCCGAAGTCCGTGCGACAACGTTTAGAGATCGCACCACTCGATTTTCAAAACGCCCCCGAGAGCGCGGGAAAATGGCTCACTTCTTGTTGGGCACGCTGTGCGCGCTGCGCGCCACCGGAGGTGTCGATGAGGGCTTGAGCTGAGACCTTGGGGGTTCTACTTTACATCCGGCAAGTGCAATTGGTCACCACCATCACCCCGTGGACGCCGGGGGCCTAAGTGTCTCGTTCCGCGTCACTTGCGCTCGCCGTTTGAAGTCCGCAAAAGTTGCGATTTTTTCTTCGCAGACTTAAAGGGCTCCTCATACCCTTTCGATAGCAGTATCGCCTGTCTAAATGAGCAACCTGAACCACGGTTGAAAATCTAAAAAAACACGCCTGAGGGGACCTTAGCCCGATTACTAGGCAACACCTGCATACACGCATGTAAGGCGGGTAGCCAGTTGGCCCTCTACAGTCGCCTTTAGGCATCTTTTTTAGATTTTTTGCAGATACATGAATCATAGAACGGGGACTCAGCAAATTAAACCATATATGTAACCCCCTGCACCTAACAGACATCGGGTGCGCACTCGGGGAGGCGGGTGGACTACAAGGCCGTGGGCTGCTTCGTCCGGTTGCGAGAGCGGGCGGACTGTCCCGCGCGTCCACCCGCCGAGGTGGTAATGATTTACTAAGCACTCTCACTTATCACTGGTGATGAAGGCGGGGCGAAGAGGTTGGGGTGGCGGCCGCCTCCAGGATCCGCTCGATGGTCGAATCCTCAGACCGCGGCGAGCGGGCGGCCCTGGGTGGCGAAGACGCCGGCGATGTTGTCCCGCTGCTGGCGCTGCCGTCCAGGACGTGGAGCAGCGCCTTTGTGGACCCGCTGGGGGACGGCGCAGGCAGGCGACGTGGTGGGCGCCGACGGGGGCCCCCAGCGCACCGGCGCGGAGGGCAGGCGGGCTGCGAGCATGGCCCCGAAGGAGCCCGGGGGCCACCCGTTCTTGTGGTCGACGCCCTCGTCTGCGCCCACCCCGCGCGCTGGCGTCCGCGGGCTGGGGGGCGCAGCGGCGGCGTCGTGCTCAGCGAACGCGATCCTCAAGCTGCGCTTGGTCGCGCCGGCGCGCGACAGGGTGGGTTCGAAGGCGGACGGCTCGTCCGTAATTGTGACGTACTCACGTTTGAGAGGCGCGAGCGGCGTAGTGACTGGCGCCGCTCGGACTGCGGGGTCTGTGATGAAGGTGGTGGCCAGGCCGTGTGGGGCGCGGCCCAAGGTGTCCAGCCACGCGTTGCGCACGGTAAAAAAAGTTTCTTGTATTTCAAGACCCTGTCTTGGATCTTATGGAGAGCGCCAATGGCATCCAAGACCGAGTCTTGAAATACAAGAATCTTTTTTTACCGTGCGGCCGGGCGCTGGTGTCGCGAGTCGACGCGGCGGGGCGTCCCAGGATGGGCCTGCTGTTGGGGAGGCTGGCCCGCCGCCGGGCGACGTGGAGCGGTGTCCGGAGGTGATGTCCAGGAGAGGGTTGGGCCCGCGGCCGGTGGCGTGCTGTGCGGGAGACTCGCCGGCGGTGGCTTCAAACGGCTGTTGCCGACGGTGGAGAGTCGACCCGACCTGGCAGGGCGGCGGCTGGGCGGCCGCGATGGTGAGCGGTGGAGGGGCAAGAGGCGCACTGTGCAGTGCTGGTGGTGGTGGG